ACACACACACACACACACACACACACACACACACACACACACACACACAAAACAACAACAACAAAATAATTTTACTCTTCATTCTTTAATATTCCCACCAGTGCTGTGTGGGGTTCTGACTGCTTCCTCTCATTGATATTTGCTGTTGTCAGTCTTTCTTATTTGAAGCATTGTCTCTATTACCAAAGAATTTATATTAAAATAAGAAAAAAATCCTTTCTTCTCATAACAGAGATATACACACACTGTTAATCAAGGTTTTCATGAATTAGTAAAAAAGGATGAGAGTCTGTAAAATTTAATGTCAACTTAACTGTTCAAAAAGGCTACCAATTGTAAGTCAAATGCTACCCATCTTTATTATGTATAAATGCAAATTCATTTCCTCTGATTTTGTATATGTTGTTTCTTCTGCCAGGAATGCTCCTGCTTCTGCTTGTCATGCAGATTCATCTTTAAGACTTAAAGGACCCCTCCTCCAGGCAGCCTTTCCTCATCTCCTGTCCACCCACAGGGTTGGGAGTACCCCTCACAGGCTTCCACGTACCCAAAGATTGCTTCCATTACAGAACTGGTGACATTTTAACTATGTGTCTATCTTCTATACCGATAATGAGTTCCCTGGGAAGGATTCCTTATTTATCTTTGTATCAACTGAGCATTAATTGAGTAAATAAATTGATTCTTAGTATTGAAACACAGGCTATGAAGAAATACCTTTCACATGGCCATTTGTGGGAGTTTCAGTTGGAGGAAGAGATGGGGCGGGAGCCATAACAGAATAAATTCACAGAAAACTGCATTTCAGATCATTTTACCTTTCAACTGGGGAGAAGTGGACTGACGACACAGTCTTTACAAATAGGAAACAGTTGCCCAATGAGTAAGCTTTTGCATGGTCTGAGGCAGACTCAGAGATTAAAAAAATTTTGAAAGTAGAATAGCCACTAAGGATAACTAGTTCAACCTCCTCGAGTTATAAATAAACTGAATACCGAATAGTGATGACACGCAGAGTTAGTGAAAACAAAAGGTTTGCCTTCAGCTCTCTCTCCTTTATGCCTTCACAGCTTTACTTTTTGTTGTAATGGAGTTTTCTCTTTACTGTATTTCACCCCCCACCACACACACCAACTCTCTCCCCCACCCCCGCCTCCCACCCAACTTGGTCCATAAGAACAGGCCTGGTCCCTTCTCTCTCTCTCTCCCTCCCTCCATCTCTCCCTCTCTAAAATGTACCTGTTCTAGGCTCCTATTCCATCAGGTCCTACAACCTATGAGAGATAATCCAGTAAAATAATTTAAGCTGAGTTGATCATAATTCTGCCTGACACATCTGCATGTGTGCTCAGCCACAAAAGCTCTGCTGCGACGTTCACCAGCTGAAAAGCATCAGTGTTGTCCCTGACACTAGAAAATGACAAGAGGTTTTGGGCACAAGAATTTAGGGGGAGGCTTCCATTTGTTTGTCAGCTTCTAACACGGCTGGCGGTGATGCGTGGGCCATTCTACAGCAGAGCTTGGAAAGAGGAGTAAAAACCCATGGGAAGCGGATCCCACATCAGCCCAAGGCAGCACCAAAGAGCAAAGGTCTGGGTCATGAGCCTTCAGGCACCGGCCCCTGGTGCTGCCCTAGGGAACCAGGAAAGCAGAAGAGCTAAGAAGAAACAAAACCCTAGCTTATTCTAAGTTACCTTGTTAGCTAACAGGTCATGCCTCACCAGTCTAGGGAGGAAAGTCCTGTCACGTGGACAGAGTGTTTTATCTGGAAGATCAGCTTACCCCAGTATCTTGGAGAATGTAGATCCAAGGCTGCCAGAGCACTTTGAGGAGTTCCTAGTTCACCTTAGGGGGTGCCACTAAGGCTTGGATTGTGCCTGACACACAGTGAGAGACAGAGCTGCCTGCAGCCACTATGGTTTCCGTAGGGGCAGAGAAGTGACAGCTGCATCTGCATTGCAAGTCCCTGGGCAGATGGGAGCATCTGCTTAGGAAAGACAAAAATCCTCTTTCTACAGGGTCCAACAGATGTGGATCCTAAAGGTAAAAAGAGCTCCTTGTAAAATGCAGAGGATGCTTTTATATACAAACTTGAGAACGAGAACAGGCGGGCAGGCTTGAGCCTGCTGCAGAGCTTTGGCTGGGCCCTCTGGGGAGTCTGAGCCAGCAGACCCCCAGGAGCCTCTTGGCTTCCTTCTGAAGTGTCAGACTGGCCCAGAGCCATCTGTGGAGAGCAGGGAGGCATCATACTCCCTCCCTGTTCCTTTCTCTCAACAGAAAATGCATACTCCTGCCTCAATAGGAGGGAAACACCTGCTTCTTGTACCTCCCTGAAACCCAGCATTCAAGGTCTTAGAAGGGTCTTTAGGTTCTCAGCCCTCAATGTGTGAGAGTGGCAAATATTTCGTTTCTACACACACACACACACACACACACACACACAGAGCTCACTCCCTGTCAGCCTTGCCAATGGTAGGGTTTTAGTTTTTCTTGGGGCAGAAGGTCCCCAAAAAAAGAGGGTTTCAGCGAGGATTTCAGAGGTGCCAGCTCTTCTGATTGTGGCTGGGGACAGCACCTGGGGACCCAGCAGAGTCAGACAAGAGACAGACAGCCCTCGAAGGGATCCCACATGGCCAGTGGAAGTCCCAAGCTCATTGCAGGGCACATAGTAAGTTAGCAGCCCAAATAGCCTAGAGCACAAAATGGGGTACAGAAAATGATCACTTGGATACAGAAATAAGCAGTAGACCCCTATTGCTATTTGATTTTTACTTCCTTCTATAACAGTCTGTATGTTTTATAATGTATGTGATACATTAGTTTAGTTGGCATATGAATATATTTTATATAAAGTTTTACATCTGCATTAGGTGATGTGCTCACAAATGAGGAGGAATGAGGGGGTGTGATCCCTCACGTCGGATGCTGAGAGACAGCTGCAGGAAGAGCTCTGTTTCTTTTCCTCAAGCTCTCTTAGTCTCTGAGTTGCCATTTTACACACTCTCAGTTAAACTCACCAGCTGTCCCTAAGATGCTCCCAAATCAATTCCAGTCACTTGGCTACAAACTAGGATAAGTCTTTGTCATGTGGAGTGAAGCCACATCAATGGCATTTGCTCTTTTTGAGAGAGTGATATATAGACATTTTCTTGTACCTTAAAAAGCCTGTCACAAAAATGTACCAGCAAACAGAAAATAAAGATTAGACAAAACACAGCAAAATAGTGTGATTATACAAACACCCAGAGGAGAAATCAATTAGCTCTAAGAAAAAGAAGAGTCATCCTGGAGCAATTCAACCACAGGCAACATGAGATCAGAAATGAGTGAAAAACTGCATGTCTCTCTTTTAATAAGTGGGGATATAGTCACTGGGGTCTCCTTAAAGGAAAATATCTTTTCAGTGGATTGAGGTTTGCACAACACTGAGATGTTTTATTTCTGAAGCTATGTCCCTTTTTGTGGGCATTCAACTCCAGTGGCTACAAGTTGGAACAGCTTCCATTTGGCAAAAGCAATGTATTACGATTTGTAAGTGCATGAAATAAGACCTCATCTTACCTTTGTAGGAAACACTCTGAAGGTACTTTTTGACTTGAGAGGAAGTAAATGAGTTTAAAAGCATTAAGAAATCCAGGTAGGTTCTGTCATAGTCACGTTGGTATGTGGTCTGCTTCTTCATATGCTCTTGGTTCCTGAGGTAGCTGTGCAGCACGGAGGGCACTGCAGAAATACGCAGGAGGGGACAGGCTCAGGGGCTGGCACCCAAGCACAGCAGTCTTGCCCTTATTGTTTAAAAATGACCCTGAGGCCGGGTGCGGTGGCTCACGTCTATAATCCCAACACTTTGGGAGGCCGAGGCAGGCATTTCACGAGGTCAGGAGTTTGAGACCAGCCTGGCCAATATGGTGAAACCCCATCTCTACTAAAATTACAAAGAAAAAAAAAATTAGCCAGGTGTAGTGGTGCATGTCTTTAGTCCCAGCTACTCGGGAGGCTGAGGCGGAAGAATCACTTGAACCCGGGAGGTGGAGGTTGCAGTGAGCTAAGATCATGCCACTGCACTCCAGCCTGGGCGACAGAATAAGACTCTGTCTTAAAAAAAAGCAAAGAAAGAAAATGACCCTGACAGCCTGATCCCTGCTTTGAGCTCAGGCAGCGTCCTTCATGATGCTGGACACTAAGGCTCTGTATTAAATCAATTCTTCCAATGACTAGAGCTACGCAGAGCTACGGGGACTTCCAGCCTGTTGCTCCTGAAAGTGGCAGTGATGGGAGACAATGACCAGAAGGGTGAGTTTGACCATCACTTTCAGAAGAGAAGTTTTCCCTGAACTTGACTCTTATGCAGATCAGTGTGTTATGATGGTGAAGGAACTGAAATATGTCACCCCCAAATACACTTCTCTGGTATACTTTGAGATGACTATTGAAAAGTCCTGCCAACTGCATTAGCCCTGCAAAGTTGTCTTGGAGAGTGGGGTGACCTGCATCCACAGGGAATCTGCACTGATGCAGCCCGGCTTTCTAAGGCCTTTCCTTGTCTGGATCTAAGAAACATTAACTAAGATTGGACTTTATAGGTCTAAAACCTTTACCATCATTCTCTCTGGGGGCTGCTACCATTGAACAAGACCACCTTTGCCAGCCAGGTCTCCTCTTCTCCTCCGCCCACAACCCGTTTAGCCAACTCTTTCCGTAACCTCAAGATGGTATAAAAGCATCAACTCTCCTGTCATTGCTTTGAGTTCTTATATTTTGCTTGACTCCCATGCGTGTTAATTTGTATGCCTTTTCTCCTTTTAATCTTCCTTTTTTCAGTTGATTTTTCAGCAAACCTACAGAGGGTAAAGAGGAAGTTTGCCTTTGGTGGCTACGATGGTGATGTTCACTGTCTGCTTAATAACCAAAGGTCCTCATAGAAGTTTCTTTTTCTTTCAGGACATCTCCTGTGCACATTTCGGATGGCACAGTAAGGGACCTCCTTCCAGGGACCTAGGCATCTTCAGATGAGCAGTTTGGAATAATGATGGTGTTTATAGTCATCACTCATTGTCCATTTGGACTAATGGGGGTATGAGGTGCAGGGACGGGTGGATCAATACACAAATCACTTATATTTGATTATGAATATTGCTCATTTAATGTGAGTTCTGATATTCAAGAAATGATCATGAAAAAACTAATAAAATCATGATACAAAAACCAAATTTTCACAACTTGCTCAATCTTTTTTTCTTTTTCCTTTTCATGGGACAGAGTCTCTCTCTGTCGCCCAGGCTGGAGTGCAGTGGTGCAATTTCAGCTTATTGCAACCTCCGCCTCCCGGATTCAAGCGATTCTCCTGCCTCAGTCTCCCGAGTAGCTGGGACTACATGCACACGCCACCACGCCCAGCTAATTTTTTGTATTTTTAGTAGAGATGGGGTTTCACCATGTTGACCAGGATGGTCTCGATCTCTTGACCTCGTGATCCGTCCGTCCCTGTCTTCCACAGTGCTGGGATTACAGGTGTGAGCCACTGCACCCAGCCCCAATTTTTAAACCTTAAGAACACCTTCCAGCTTCAGGTGTCCCCTTTAAAGCGTTATTGGCCAAATAGAGGGACCAGACTGGTGAGAGGATTTGATGTTATACCCTGAGAAGAGTGTTTGTAGGGCCTGGAAATACTTTAACTGGAAAAGAAGGCATACGACAAGGTTTTCATAGAATAACAGATTTATAATAATGAACATCCATGGGAAGAAGCGGAACCAGTGGCTAGAAGTTCAGCAGGAATATTACAGCTGATCCAGCTTCTAAACAGACCGCGAAGGGGATGGGGCTACCCTGAAGCGGATATGCCGGGGCAGTGTCGCCCCTTGGCAAGGCTGGAGTCAGGAAGATTCACACACAACATGAGGCTCTGGATGAGGTAATTTCTAGGCTACCTTCTAACCCAAGGTGCTAAGCATCAGTTCTTTGATTATTGTCTCAAGTTCTGCTTGTTCTCAACTCCATGCCAGGAATGAATCACGTCTCAGACTGACACCAAGTTTTCTGCTTAATTAGTAGCCTGGAGGTGGCTTGGTCATGGAATTTTAAGAAACTTGAGGGATGCACATGTGGATACACTTCAGTAGGAGACTGAGACTAAACTGGTTTCCTGCCTCACCTCTTTCTGTCACTTTACAGCAACTGCGTCCTTCCTCTCATTCTATAAGGAGGAAGTATCCCCTAATCCTCACCACTGCCCCTTCCCAGCAGGGATCACACTCATTTCATGGCCTAAGCAGTCAGTCGTCTTCTGAAATCTGCTGGCTCCCTGGGTTCCAGGTTGGGAGCTGCAGTGACCAGGTTCTGATTTTATGTGAGGACCCCCGGCTTTCTCCGTGACTGTTGCCAAATGTGCTACCAGTGCCCTCTGCACTGAGAAGTCCTGGAGCCAGGGTTTGGGATCTATGAGGCTGTTTTAGAAGCTGCAGCTGTACTCACCTACACCCCGAGAAGCAACGGGCAAGCTTGCATAGCATCCGTATTTGAAACTGAAATCCTGAAGCTCGGGAATTTTAGCTGGAATTTGGTAATTCCTTCGGAATTCGGTGTCTGGAGGTTGGGGAAGGAACTTTTTCCATTCCAGAGACAGGCGAGAACTTTTCTTAACCCTCTGAGCTGGGGCGGGGTGGAAATGGAAGGCAATACTTACTCCTTGTGAGCAATTTCAAAGTAGCTCCACATCCCACCTCACCTCTATCAGGAGCTTCCAGTTTATCACACTAAAAACCCACTCTTGTTGTATTTAGAGGGCCGGTCAATGTGCTCTATATGAACACCTCAATGAAGAAATAATTTTATCAGTCACAGGAGGTATGTGCTAAAATGAATGAACACTTCGATGAAGAAATAATTTTCTCTATCAGTCACAGGAAGTATATGCTCAAATGATCAGAAGTAGTTTCTAGTGAATATATTTTTAAGTCACGAGTCTGCCCAGTGGGCACAGAAGACACTGATCACTCCACTAGGTCTGCCTAGTTCCTGGGGCAGAGGGGGGTATCAAAGAGATTTTGGATAGGGCCAAGGTTGCCATTTTATAAAACATGAGATGCCCAGTGAAATTTGAATTTCAGATAAATAATGATTTTTTTAGCGTAAATACTTTCTATCTACTACATGTCATTATTCAAATTTAACTGAGTGTCCCATAGTTTTATTTACTTAATCTGGCAGAGCTAGATGGGGTGGTATATATCATCCCCATTACCTAGGAAAAATTTTAAAAAATTAAAAAACTGGAAACTTATCCCTTACTGATGGAGGGTTAGGTAACATTGCTGGCATTAGTGAATAGCACCACTATTATTTCTTTGAAATATCTCTGCTAAAACATATTCATTAAATGTCTACGAAGCACTGAAGCCAGTGTTACAAACATTATCAGATTTACAGAGGCAAGAATCACAATCCGTCTCACATAGAATGAGTTTATTCCTGATGCTTGCTACAAAGCCTTAGTTCAGAGGCGTATCATATAACACCATCTTTATTCAGAAGGACAAAGATGTCAAAAACATGGGTTTCATGAGCAATGTCCAAACAGTGCACATTACAATCGACACTGAACTCAATTCTCTTCCAGATTAGTTTTCCAATAGAGCTTTTCAAAATAAATCCTAATACACATTGTATATCAAACCATTTGTAGTGGTACCTACTGGTATATATTTTATATCAAAGGATATATAATTGCATCTACTGGCATCTGAGAGTATTTTTATATCAATTTAAAAAAAATGATTTCTGTCTAGACCAGCAGAGGAGGAGAAGGTTCCAGCACATGTTGCCTCTTACTTTGGAAAACTTGGGAAGAGAGGACATGGGTATTCAGTAGCCCTCGTAATGACCTCATAAACTGCAGACACAGAAGGCAGGTTATAGAGGGGAGGAGTTTGTGGGGCTCAAAATCAGGGCCCCCCTTAAGATATTTTGGAAAACCATCCGGCACTGTTCCTGTAACTTCCATCTATAACTTAGTGCTATGATTCGAATGTGTCCCCGCAAAAGCAAGCGTAATCCCTATTGCAACAAGGTTGGGAGGTGGGGCTACTGGGAGGTGTTTGGGTCATGGGCACTCTGCCCTTATGAGTGGATTAATGCTGTTATTGTGGGAGTGGGCTAGCTATTTCAAGAGTGGGCTCCTGATAGAAGGTGAGTTTGGCTTCCTTTCTCTCACTTTCATGCTCTTGTCCTCCCATTTTCCACCATGGGATGATGCTGCAGGAAGGTTCTTGCAAAGTGCCAGCACTATGCTCTTGGCTTCCCAGCCTCCAGAACCATGAATCAAATAAACACATTTCATCATAGATTACCCAGTCTCACACATTCTGTCAAAGCTGCACAAAACAGACTAAGACGCTTGGCTTGGCTTTTATTATTTACTGAGAGCTTTGTAAACAAAAACATATTTCCATTGACATACTTGATGCTTTTACCTAATCTCTTCCCTAGAGCTACCATTCAATAGCAAATGCGTTCAGTTCCTGTATCAGTTCTGTGTTATATGACAAGGTTTTACATAATTAAGTCATTGTTCTGTCTTAAGACAATTAGTGTGATTCTAAAGATATCTACAGGACAAACAGGTAGCGTATGTGGTAAGTCTTGTAACCATAACATTTGGACCTGTGGCTGTCACATGGAAATATGACATCAGAATCACCTGGGAAGCGTCTCTCAGAATACATCTGCTTACCCTTATCCCAGACACTGAGAACATCTAGAAGTGAGGCCCCAGGCATTTACGCTGTGAAAACAAACCACCCATGTGCTTAAGAATTACTGACTCAAAGCTTTGAATAAGGTGCTACAGGAGCCCAGAGAGGGTATGAGGAGCTGTGACGGAGGAAGTGGAGGAAGACAAGGACTGAAAGGCAGTCAGAGTAAGGAGCTTTGACAATGGGTCAACAAGGAAACAAAAAGTGTGTAGTGTGTTTGTGAAACATGACCTGGCTCGCAGAAGGCTGGGGCATGCAGGGCAAGGGGGAGAAGCTGAGGGTGCAACAGGAGAGGCAGCGGGAGCCAGGCTGTGAAGGGTCCAGGACATCCATTCCACATGAACAACGATGGACCAGCAATCATTGGAGATGAAGACCCAGAAAAGGCAAAAACAAGGACCTAGACTTAGATATCTACAGGATGAACAGGGAATATTGTGAGTCCTGCAACCATATCGCTTGGAACTGTAGATCTCACATGGAGATAAGCCATCAGGGTCACCTGGGAAGAGGTACTCAGAATACAAAGATTCTCACTCGTCATTGATCCTCAGCACTTTTCACAGTGCTAGAACTCATTAAATATTTACTAAATTAATGAGTGAACGCACACACCAAAAAACCTGGAAGCATAATTGCTATGGATTAGCAATTAATATCTGAACTACACTCTAGTGACTGCCTATGTGATCGATCCATGCTTAAGGTAACTCCTAGTAAATTATATATTGTTCATTCCGTAGCATGGGCTTAGTTCTTTTAAACTGACGCTTTTGTTGTCTTTATAAAATGTGTTAATGAGCTTCACGCATTATTTGGAAGACAGGTTCCTGATAAAAAGGGACCTGAGCAACACCTAAACCCCCATAGTTGTGCTGAAGCACGGAGAGAAATGATAAGCGTGAGTCAGAACTAACCTCCCCCAGGGCCGCCTCCTCAGCGGTCCTATTCCTCAGCTCCCTGAGTTTCTTTTCCACTGGAGTAAAAGAGTGGTTTAGCCCAAAGAAAAAAACTGGCCCATTTATGGGACCTGCAGAAAGGTTCAAACCAAAAGTAAATCTACAACAAGGACCATTCAAAACCATGAGGGCCATTGGCACATGACCTAGTGCTGCTGTCTGTTTCAGCTGTTCTGATGCAGCAGAGCCACGTTCTCCAAGCCTGAATGTGAAAAGAAGCACCTTTCATTGCCTCTCAGTTGTTTACCTTAATTCCATAATGAGGATAAAAAGCTAAGGCAGGGCCCTTGTGCTTCAGAAGCTTAGATTATTACAATATCATTGGTCTTACAAAAGAAGTAAGAACCAAGGCTGTTAAAACACATGGGAAGGCCAGCAACCCAAAGGTAGGGGATCAGGGAAGGCTTCCAGGAGAGACGGGAGGCCTACAGCTGGATGCAAATTCTGGGTCGACACAGGCAAGAGAAGGAAGGGAGATGTGCTCCACAGGGAGGAAGCAATGTGTGCAGCCAGCACGAGGCCATGGGGGTGGAGGTATGTGGAGCGTGTGAGTCGGGATGGCCGGCAAGGCCATGAGGGTGGGGCTGACAAGGGAGGAGGAGGTGTGGCAACCAGGACCAGATTGTAGGAGACTTGTGTAAGGCATTTAGCTTTTATCCTGAGGACAACAAAAATTCACTGAAGGGGTTTAAGCCATAAAGTGACATCAGTTTGCGCCTCTGGAGACTCACCATGGCTGTCTCATGGACAGTGGGTTAGAGGGAACAAAACTGGAAAAGCTCACTGCGAAAGCTCCTCTAGCTGCCAGGTGGTGACAGAGTCGGAGGGAACCTATGGATTATGCAGGAAGATCGGCTGCGGGGGAAGGAGATGAGTTGGAATGCTCACGAGGCTTTTACTCAGCACCCAATACAGGAAACTGAGGATCTAAAGAGAGGTTTCAGGAGACATACAAATGTGGAGGTCCTCAGGATACTTGCTCTGCAGAGTAATCAGAAACTCTAATAGTTAGAGCCAAACAGAAAAATGACCAAAGAGAAGGATCAAAGAAATAGGGGGAAAACAGGAGCACGTGACAACACAGAAGTGCAAGGAGAGCAGTGGTTCAAGAGAGAGCAGAAACCACAGTTAACGATGCTCAAAGGCTGGGTAAGATGCAAACGGAAAAATCTCCATTGAAGGTCATTGCAGACCTTGAAAGGAGCAGTTCAGCGAATGGTGAGGGCAGACACAAGGTTGGAAGGGGTTGAAAAGTCAGAGGGTTAGCAATGCTTCCCATTAAACTCAGTGGATTGTATCCATGCATTTAGGATCCTCTATTCCCAAACTCCATCAGAATGATCACAGATTTGAAATGTTAACACATTTTTAGAAAATGGGAAGCAAATGTAGATGTGGCAACTGAATGAGCATAGCAGAGGCAGCTGAAGCCTAAATGATGTGAGAGGGGAACAGCAAAGAAGTGAACTATGTAACCCACAGTACAGAACACCTGCAGGCTCAAGTGTAACAGGTACAGTGGAAGACAGGGAGAGAGGCTCAGGGCTGAACACAGACGCTGGGCTGAAAACGTGGATACCGAGTGGCTCCCTGAATCACCTTCATAAGCCTGTGTAGTCATATGACTATTTCTTCCTAAGCAGAAGTTTATTCTCTGCAAAACTGAATCAAAGAAGCTCTGGACTGAGGGACACCAGGCACAGTAAAAGGTGAGTGGACTGAGATGCCTGACTGAAAAAAGAGGGGTCAGTGAAAGTCTGCACGTCAGCCAGGAAGATCCCAACCCCTTGCTTCCCCAGTCCTGCTTTCAGAATGCCAACAGTCAGTGAGAACTACCTCTCTGGAGAGACGGATCCACAAATAATAGCATGTAGGGATATCCCCCCAAAAAGATAGCTCACCCTCTAATCACCTAAGTCAAGTACCAGCTATCAAGCCACATCTCCGCACATAGTTTTTAATTATGTTTGAGTATCTCCTTTGTAGGTTTTGTGAGCCCTGGAGTTTAATATTTTGTGTGTACCCACTTTAAGAAGAGTCTACAAAAGTGAAACTTGAGTTTTATTAGCTTTATAATAAATCTGCCTTTGCTGCCTTGCAAATATGGACAATCAAAGTTTCATTAGACTGTTAAGACATTCAGAGAAAAATAAAAGCAATGCAAGGAACAGATGAAAATGTGGAAAGTTAAGTATATTATAAATATCTTAAAATTCGTGAGAATTACTGCTTCTATAAAATAAGAACAGAATGCTGTTTTAAAAAACTAATTGGAGGGAGGAAGAAAGAGAGCTTAGAAATTAAAAATAAGAGACCCGTAATAAAATGTAATAGAAGAGCTGGATTAAAAATGAAGAAGTTTTCAGCTGGGTGCGGTGGCTCACGTCTGTAATCCCAGCACTTTGCGAGGCTGAGGCAAGTGGATTGCCTGAGCTCAGGAGTTCAAGACCAGCCTGGACAACATGGCGAAACCCTGACTCTACTAAAAATACTGAAAAATTAGCCAGGCCTGGTGGTGCGTGCCTGTAGTCCCAGCTACTGGGGAAGCTAAGCCAAGAGAATTGCTTGAATCCGAGAGGCAGAGGCTGCAGTGAGCCAAGATCACACAACTGCACTCCAGCCTGGTGGAGACTCTGTCTCCTTGAAAAACAAACAAACAAACAAAGTAAAGAAGTTTTCAAATAAACAATAAAAATGCAAAGAGAAAGAAGCTGGAGAGAAAAGGTAAGATAATTCAAGTCTCAATCCAACTATCCAGTAGCTTCCTAAGAAAGGGTGTGTTGAAGGAACTTTAAAAGTATATTCTTGTCAATCTGGAAATGTCTTTTCTTCTTAATTACATTTGCTTGATAGTTTGGCTGGATATAGAATTTTAGGTTGGAAATCACTTCCCTTCAATGCATTTTTCCAAATGTCTTCTAGCATCCAGGATTTCTATGTAGAAGACAGATGCCATTTTGATTTCTGATCCTTTTTTATGTTATCCTCCTGGAAACTCTTAAGATCTCCTCATTCCTGACATGCTGAAATTCCACACTTACATGCATTAGTGATAGTTTTTTGCCATCCATTGTGTCAGGCATTCAGGGGCCCTTTCAATCTAGAAACTCTGAGAATTTTTTCCTGCATTAGTCCTTTAATATTTTTCTCTCCTCTCTTTTCTCTGTTCTAGTCTGTCATTGTGTTTGGAAAAAATTTTGGTAAGTATACAACAAAGTATGGAAAAAAATAGTGTCAGACATGTAGAAAACTGAGCACATGGAGAAAAACAATGATTAATTCTGGTAAAAATAAGAGAAAGCAAGAAGCAAAGGAAATAATCATGAAATACAACTTGGCTCAGTGGCAAACATTTACATACTTGTGTAATCACAGTATGTCATATCATAATACACACACTAGCAATTGAATTTAACAAGAAATCTGTAATATAATGATATTGACACGATGGATGGAGGACCAGTGAGACAGAGTTAATCCTCAACTACCAAAACGGAAGTCAATAATATCTAAAATTCATGAGTGAAGGAATAGCAATAGCATATATTTTAAAAATCACATAAGAAGACATAGTTAACCAGATTGAAACTGATTGCCAATGAGGGATATGAGTAGGGGTGGAGCGGGGTAGGTCAAAGAACTGCTGTTATTTCTTTATAAGCCTCTGAGTAACTGTTTGAGTGTATGCAGACATTAGTTTAATAGAAATACATTTTAATTTTTAAAAACTATAAATAAGAAGTTAGGAATTCAGAACAGCAATGTATAAACTGACTCTTAAAGGAATGTTAGCTGGGAAGGAGCTGGTTCTAACAAGAGAAGCCAGACCGCCTGGGTCAAAATCCTAGACCCTACCAGTCCTGAGCTGGGCAACCTGACACGTACGCAACCACACTGACTTTTAGGTCCTCCTCTTGGATTGGAGGTGATAATTTCAAAGATCAAATGTGTTCATTTATGAAAAGCCAGGGGCTTAGTAAATGTTGGCTGTTTGGGAAGGGAAGTGGAGAAATAAACAGGAGCTAAAAGAAGAGATGGGGTTGAGGGGAAGCTCTGTTTTTGTTTTCATTTGGAACATGCTAGATGGAATATACTACAGTCAAGGTGCATGCCGGTGGGATGGGATTAATGCTTTAGAGATGGAGGAATGATGCTGGAGAACAGCCAGAGAACTGGAAAGGTAAACTTCTCGTTCAGGGGGCGGGGAGACAGATGCACAGCTCACAGGGATTGATGGTTCTGTTGGGACAGGAAGCGGGTGTAGAATGAAGGTGGAGACACACAGGACTTGAGAGATGCTTCATTCTCTCTTTGGGTGAACAGGGGCCCTCTGCACTCCCTGGCTTGTGTTCAGAGCCTACAGGGTAGCCAGCCTTCCTCAGCTGTCGTTGGGTGTCATTATTTTGTGAAAAGGCAGGAGAACACCAATACTCCAACTGCCATTTTGTCACAGGGCTTGGAGTTGTGCACTGGAGTGTGACGTTTTCCCAGTGACTTAAAGAGAGGTTTCCTTCTTTGAGTTTAAAAATATAGTCAATTTTCATAAATCATCAATAAAGTAAATTTCCTGCTGATAAGAAAGAACAAAATGGCATCCAACCACCAAATATGTCATTTCTGGAAAATGTGTTGGTATATATGGAATTCATTTTTGATGCCCTGAGACATGGGAGCTATGATGTCATCTCTACCTACCCTACAGAAAACCAGTCAAAGGTGTTCTCAGCCACAGAGCCCTAAGGGCAGAGCCAGGTGACGAAGAGAGAATCTAGGGGGAATCTGCACAGCAGAGTTCCCATCCCAGGACACATGTGCTCTTCCAGGAAGCAGGACGAACAGCATGCTGGACTTCTCACCTCTAACAGGTGAGAGAATAAAGTGGCCCTCGCTTCACCCTCTCGTGGTTTTCTACTTATCTAGGAAGACAGCAGCATCCCATCCGCACAGAACTCCAAGGCAGACTCCTGTTACCCCCTTATCCCTGACATCTGTCGGTCACTCGTTCCTATCATTCATTCCTTTGCCCAACCAATATTTATTTTCATCCCCTATGATAAGCCAGGCACTGGGATGGGTGCTGGTGGCACAATGTGAGCCAAAGAGCCACAGTCCCTGCCCTGGAAGTGGCTCATTTGCTGACTGAAGTGCCCGTGCCGCCACCTTGCAGATCCTGCCTCGCCTGCACTGCCCCAGCGCTGTGTCAAACCACCTCCCTCCTCTCTGCGCTGCTCTGACAGCCTCCTCCTCCCCGCTTCCTCCTGAAGGGCCATCTCCGTTCTTCACTCTGCAGCCAGTGTGAGGCTTCTAAAAGCCAGCATCGGAATTGTGTCACTACCTTAATAAAACCTCTTAATTGCTTCTGGAATAAACTTCAAACTCTTTAGTATGCCCTGCAGGGCCCTTCCAGACTGGGTGCTCTCTGGCCATGCGGGTCTCCTCCCTTAACTCTTCCTTTGCCCTTTACTGCTTTGCTCTTGGTGAAGCTCTCCTAAAATGTTCCTCCAGGCCTTCAATCCTGCAGCAGCACTCTCTACTACCTCTCCACCTGACTAAGTCCTCTGCATCTTTTGGGCCAGGCAGGGAAGGCTTTCCTAATCCCCGCCCCACAGCAGGCTGGATGTCCTCCCATAGGCCCACAGCTACTGGCACTTTCCACAAGGTGCACCTTTTTATACTTGATGGTTTTTATTTGCAAAGTTGCCTAGACTTTGAGTTCCCTGAGGGAGAAGAGCAGACCCATGCTGCTGACCACTGCAACTCCAGTGCCTACCACATGACCCCGGGGAAAAAATAAACAAAAAACCCCACAAAAAACCATGCTTACCTTTGGCTCTGTCCACGAAGTCTCTCTTAGTAAGGGAAATAAACTGATTTGATAGTGCCTGGTTAACTTCTTTCATTGAAGCAGGGATTTTCCAAGGGAGACAGGTCCTTAGTGTCCTCTTTTGTTGACAGTGAGGTAGTGTCCACAGGAAAATGTCCTATCAATGCAAACACAATTTTCATGAAAATCCATATGGGTTCACCTAATGGGATCAATAATCTGAGTGTCTGTGTGCACATATTCTTCAGAATCCTTTACACCCAGCTGCCACAGCAGGTGCATGGATGCAGAGAGCCAGCTGGCAGGAGCCATTTGTTGACCTAGCCGAAACAGAGGTTCCATGCATTCCTTTGACTTTTCACACTGAAAATGAGAGAATGAGATTGAAAACTTCCACAAGTTGTGCTTCCAACCAGAAGTCTCCTACAGATAAGCCCAGGGGAAGAGAAACCTCATGTCAATTCTCGTTCTGGCCAGACATTCCCAAGGAGTGTAGGCAGTGGCTGCTTTCCCCTTGGGAGACCCTGAGGAAAACCCCCTCACATGCAGAGGCCTCAGCAACTTCCTGAAGGACAGCAAAGGGCAGGCACTCTCTTCTCATCTCCAGAGAGATTTTAGGATGAAAAAACTTGAAACCTCCACCTTCTCTTGCCAATGTCCCTCTTTCCCATGATCTTGCTTCCTATTTCCCTGAGAAAACTGAAGCCACCAGAGAAACACCTCCACAGCCCAGCAACCACGTCCAGCCACCACACCTGCACTGGCACATGCTGCGATGGGAGGGGAACCGGCAGGTGCTCCCAGCAAGGCCCAGCCCCACCTGCAGCACCAGATCCCTCTCTACTGAGCCCACTCCAGCAAATCGTCCAACAATCCTCTCTTCACTCTTGCAACTTGAATCTCTCCCTCTCTGCTGGGTCATTGCTATCCATGTCCAAGCATGCTTTATTTCTCCTATCTTAAAAAGAAAACGCTCTCTTCACTCCACTTTCCCTTCTAGTTTCTAAGCTATTCCTCCATTTCCCTTTGCACCAAAATTCTTCAAAATAGGTACACTTACTGTCCCAAATGTGTCTTTTAAATCTCTTTTAGTTTTCAAGTTCTCTCTTGATTCCCTTCTTTCCCTCATAATTTATCAACTGGAAAAACCAATACATAAAAGTATAATTTATCTATTGAAGAAGCCATTTGATGTGCAGAGGTGAGGTCCCCACAGTCTGGATTTTGTTGATTGCACATTCATTTATTGTTTAACAAGTTCCTCTGTCCCCTGTATTTCCCGCAAATTGACAGGTCGATCCAGAAACTCAAACTCACTAGACTAGAAGTCAAGCTTGTCCAACCCAAGGCCCCAGCCAGGATGGCTTTGAATGTGGCCCAATACAAATTCTTAAAACATGATGAGATTTTTTTTTTTTTTTGCAAATTTCTTTGTTTTAAAGCTCATCAGCTATCATTAGTGTTAGTGTGTTTTATGTGTGGCCCAAACCAATTCTTATTCTTCCATTTAGCCCAGAGAAGCCAAAAGATTAGACACCCGTGAATAAATGGTGTTTCACAAGGCTGTAGGAAGCAGATAATGTATGGTTGTTTTTCTTGTGTAATGTTGGCAGCTGCTGATATTCAATGCCTGGATTAATTGAGGCTGCCGTCTGGTATGTGAACACTCATTGGCTGAGAACACACAGGACAGTCTGCCACACTAGTTGTCATTGGCTGAGAACAAGAGAGTTGGCCACACTAGTTCTCATTGGTTGAGAGCCTGCGTGAGCACTTAGAGGAAGGGAAAATTATATGGGCATGTGTTTGTGGATGTACACATACAGTATAATATTATATACATACAGCATAATATTGTAATCAACTCTTTTACATTAATTTTAAAATATTAAGGATGACCAAGCACAGTGTCTTGTAGCTGTAATCCCAGAGCTTTGGAAGGCCAAGGTGGAAAGAATGCTTGAACCCAGGAGTTTGAGACCAGCCTGGGAAACAGACTGAGACCCCTTCTCTACAAAAAATAAAAAATTAGCTGGGTGTGGGAGCATGCACATGTACTTCCAGCTACTCTGGAGGCTGAGGTGGGAGGATCACTTGAGTTCAAGAGTTCAAGGCTGTAGTGAAATCTGATTGTACCACTGCACTTCACCCTGTGCAACAAAGCAAGATCTTGTCTCTAATATATATAATTATATCTAATAATACATGTTAGAGACATATTTATATATTATATATAAATGATTTATTAAATATATAATTTATATATATATATTTTTTAGAGACAGGAGTTTTATGTGTATATCTCCAGGAGACATATGCATGAATATATATGTGTATGTGTGTGTGTGTGTGTGTGTATGTATAAATCTATCTATCTCTATCTATCTATCTATCTATCTATCTATCTATCTATCTATCTATATTTCAGAGTTGAATAGGTTATAATGAATGGGTGTCACAAGGAACCAAATGGAATTGGCTATATGTGTACATTCTAACGACTCCCAAGTCCATATGTCCAGCTCATCTTTCTGCCATGAGCTCCAGACCTGCCTGTTCAACTGCCTGTTGGACACCAACCAACATATCTTCAACTAAAACTGCATTGTTTTAGTTTTCAATACCCTCCTTCACCAAACCTAGTCCTCCACCGTGTTTCAGCTCAGTAAACAACATCTGCATACACCAGGCTGTCCAAGTCAGAGGTTGAACATTCTACTTTCCTCTTTCTTATCCTTCACATCCTTTTTGTCATCAAATCCTGTCCATTCTACCACCTTATCATCTATTGAATGCATCAAGGTGGCTCCATCCCACATGATCCCATACCAGGTGGCAGTCAGGTAAATGAAACCCTTCACTACAACCGAACATTGCCTTTTGTGATGGGAGAAGGGCACAGAAAGCCAAGAAAACACATAAGGAGAATCAGCTATTTCCATCTAGGGGAGAAGGGACTTAGAGGCAGCTTTCTTTAATCTGAACCTTGAAGAAATACAGGGGTTCCCTTAGTGCACAGGATAGGGGTAGAGGCAACAGAATGATTTACAAAATGGAGGTTTGAGAGTGCACGAAACACAAGGCTAAGCACCAGTACTTGTACATGGCTGTTCATAGCAGCACAATTCACAATAGTGAAAAGGTGGAAACAACCCAAAGATGCATTGATGGATGCACTGACAGACAAACTGGTATATCCACGGGAGAGAACACTAGTCAACTGTGACAAAGAATTGCAGGTACTGGTATTTGCTACATGTATGCTACATGGGTAGACTCCATAATGGTGCTTTTCCTGTCATCTTTCCAGTCAGATAATTTCTTAGATGATGAACCTTGAAAACATTATGCTAAGTGAAAAGAAGCCAGGCACCAAAGGTCACCTGTTGTTGGTTCCGCATATAAAATCCACAACAGGTAATCCACAGAGGTGGAAAGCAGACGATGGGGAGTAACTGCTAATGGGCATAAAGTTTCCTTCTAGGATGATGAAAATGTTTTGGAACAAAAATAGAGGTGATGGCTGCACAACAACATATATGTACTAAATGCCACTGAATTGTTCACTTTAAAAGGTTAATTTTATGTTATGTAAATTTCACCTGAAATTTTTTTTTTTTTTTTTTTTTTGAGACAGAGTCTTGCTCTGTGGCCCAGGCTGAAGTGCAGAGGCATGATCTCAGCTCACTGCAACCTCCACCTCCCGGGTTCAAGCAATTCTCCTGCCTCAGCTTCCTGAGTAGCTGGGATTACAGGTGCGTGCGACCACACCCGGCTAATTTTTGCCTATTTAGTAGAGATGGGGTTTTACCATGTTGTCCAGGCTGGTTGCTAACTCCTGACCTCAGGTGATCCGCCCACCTCTTCCTCCCACAGTGCTGAGATTACAGGGGTGAGCCACTGCACCCGGTCTCATTTCAATCTTTTACAAGTCTTTAAAAACAAAAAACAAAAAACTCTAGGGGATAGAACATAAGTGATTAGAAATAAATGTGAGAAGATAGGAAATAGTCTAAAAAGGAGCCTTAAATCCTGTGACTGCAGAAGCTGAAAGATCTTTGTGACATAAACTCTCCTGGGTTGTTGATACAGCGTTAAATTCAACACATATGTAGATATTATCTTACTTCATTGGGATGAGTTTTTTGGCTCTCGATTCCTCTTGAAGTCTCCGTTTTGATCAAATCTTCTTTAGAGTATGATTTCCAAGTGTACTCATCATTATATTGTGTCTGATTGAGAATAGGATCGCTAAGTGAATATGTATATCCTAATCTTCTGATACCGTTTTGGCTACAAAAAAAAACCCAGCAGAAATTAGAGTTAGAGGTTAAATGCCAAATCTCACAAAAGTACGCTGTCAAATCATTTTCTTGTTACATTTTTTAAAAGATCGATTGGCTTAAGAGTTGATGCCAGAAATAATTTAATTTCAGGTTTTCCATGAAGAAAAACAATCTTGTATATTAGGATGGCTTTTAACAAAAGTACAGAGGCCTAAAATAAAATGTAAAAACATAACAATCTGAAATGTATTAATTTTTTTAAAGAGCTGAACACTCTGCAGTACAAATGGCACTTCAGTATAACCAAATAGTTGGGGAAGAAAAGCTTCTCTCTTATAGAAATCTTCCATTTGATTTCTCGTAGTCACAAGGGAAGAAATATAAGGATTGAAATACCACTAGTTTCAAACCCCTAATGAAATCACAAATCTAGGCAATGGCCAGTGGTGTCCACTCACAGCCCCAAAAGAGGACCACCAGATACTAGGAGCTTCTGAATGAATACCTGCATCACCACTTGTTAAATATCTTTGCCAAAATGCAAAACTTGAATCAGATGAAGTCTTCAGACTGTTGGATTATAGGAAATACATGAAAAGAGAAATTATTTAAATGGCTACATGAAGATTAAAAAAAAATCCCAGAACAATGATTCTGCTTCTTCAACAATGATTCTGTTTCTTCAACAAAGAATTTGTTAGGAAAAAAAAAAGAAGAAGAAGAAAATTCTCTCTCTCTGTTTTTTAAAATTAAATGAGGTAACAGACAAATAACCAAATGAAATGTGTGGACCTTTTTTGGATTCAATTTCAAACCACTGCCTTTTTAAAAAAAAATTATAAGACGATTGAAGAGACTTGATTGCTGATTGGCTATTTGATATTAAGGAATTGGTTTTCTTAAAGGTGAGATAATAGTATTATTTTTAAAACATCCTTATCTTTTAGAGATACATACAAAATCTTTAGGAATGAAATGATACCATGCCTGGGGTTTGCTTCGGTGGGAAGGATGAGTGGAGAGCACAGATAATAGGATCTAACCAGTGATGATCGCTGCTGCTGGGTCATAGTGGGGGATTTGGTGTATGTTCCTTTGTGTATGTTTAAAATATTTAATTTTTACTTTTTTAAAAAAGAAGGTTGGGTATATTCAGATTATCTCTGTAAGAAACAAATATCTGGGAAGTTGGAAACAAACATCTAGATGATCATTCTATTGTCATTCAGATATAAACCGGAGATTTTCCAAAGGGAGGGGACACCGCACAGATAGCTTTTTTTTTTTTTTTTGAGACAGAGGCTTGCTCTGTTGCCTCTGTTGCCTAGGCTGGAGTGCAACAGTACCGCCATAGCTCACTGCAGCTTCAAACTGCTGGACTCAATCTATCCTCCCACCTCAGCCTCCCAAGTAGCGAGGACTTGCAGGCCTGTACCACCATGTCCAGCTGACTTATTCTTTGTTTTTATTTTTTGAGATGGGGTCTCACTATGTTGCCCAGGCTAGTCTTGAACTTCCAACCTCAAGCATTCCTCCCACCTCAACCTCCCAAATAGCTGGGACTACAGGCACGTGCTACAGACTGGGATTACAGCTGTGAGTCACCACACTTAGCCACAAAAAGCTGTAAAAGAATCAATTTTCAGATCTCAATTTCTCAATATGCTCTTTCCTAGAACATATCCGCCTGAGAACAAACCTGCATAAGCATGTGGTTCCTTTCTTCCAATACTGCTTGCCTGATTCTGCTTTCCCCATTTCACCACAGGCTTTTTCTATGGTGCATTGCTTTGGGGGATAAGCCTCCAACCACGGCAGGGGCCCCCAGTGAAGGGAAACGTGGTCAGAGTGATTTCAGGGATACCTCCTTGTAATCCAAGTTTCACTGGGAACCACTTGGCTGGGGGTGTGATTCTCATTGTCATGTGTATTTCTATAGTGAAGGATTGTGCTATGCTGAGGGTACTAGGTCTGTGTGGGGAGGGTCTGAATTTAGGTATGTCATAGAGCGTGGCTGAGTGTAACATCTGGTTTTCTGTCTCCTAACAATGACAAAACGTTCATCTCTTTTTAGGGAGAGGCCTCTGAGAAAAGAGCAGAGAATGTAGAATGCTTAAAGTTACTCCTTTCCTCCCATACTTAAAGACAGGCATTTATCAGCTTATCTCTAGGACATGTCATTAGCTGGAAAGAAAAGCAGCTCTGAGGTGGTGAAGCAGCAGGGGCTGGTCATGCTGATTACTTTAACAACCAGAATCTTTCCTTTTTTTTTTTTTTTTTTTTTTTTTTGTGAGACAGAGTTTCCCTCTGTCACCCAGGCTGGAGCAACCTCCACTTCCCGGTTCAAGCGATTCTCCTGTCTGAGCCTCCCGAGTAGCTCGGACAATGGGCACATGCCACTACACCAGGCTAATTTTTGTATTTCTAGCAGAGACGGGGTTTCGCCATATTGGGGTCAGGCTGGTCTTCAACTCCTGACTTTAGGTGATCAACCCGCTGCAGCTTCCCAAAGTGATGGGATTGCAGGCATGAGCCACGACGCCCAGCCAAGAATTTTTTCTGAGACACTAAATTTTTAAAGATTCACTGGACAAAACTAATGAATAAGAATCTTCTATTTTTTTTTCAGATTTTGTATTAATCATTCAATAAAGTATTTAAACTTTATTCATGTTACAAAATATTTATTCGAATACAGCCAATTTTCATTTTATTTTATGTTGTAAAATATTTAACAATAAATGAAAGTATAAGCTAACCTGCCAGACCAATTTTAATTCTCACTATATGTAACTTTCTCTCATTGAATAATAGCAAATATTTGATTTGATGTTTGATGAAATTAATGAAATTGTTTCTGTTTTTATACATGATTATTATTTAATTATTCCCAAAGGAAAGCAGAATTCTATATACATGAGTGTATATTTAAGAAACATCATGTTTTTATTATACTCTTCACAAACAACATATATTTAGCTAAACATTTTATTGTATTATTTTTGGATATAATGCACTGAAATGTGTAGCTAAATGTATAAGTTTCTTGGATATAATACTATACTATACTAAAACTCCTTTTTTTTTTTTCATCGACTAATGTGTATATATATATATATATATATATATGAACAAGGTTTCTTAACATTAGAATCTATAAATTGAAAAAAGAGAGAAGCAGAAAAACATTGATGCCGAGTACAGTTTCAGTTTAAAAATAACAACACTCAAAACTAGATATATGAACTAATTGAAAACAAAACAGCCACATTTATCTCATTATGATGCAGTTGCAAAAAATTTACTTTTTGTATTTCATAATTATGAATATTTATAATGTATTTATTCCTTTGAGCAATTGTATCCTAAAGCAATTGTGATAACTCAATACTTAGGGTCATATAACACGTTTAAAAATTAATTTCAATTAATATACTAAAATAATTACAAAGAAGTATAATAGAGTGATCAATAAATTGCTTTCAAACATAAAATATATTAAAGCAGGGAAAAATTCTATGGAGGAGGTGGAGTGGGAATGAGAGTTCAAGAAGAAAAAGAAATGAAATAAATGATCAAAGAAGAGCTTATTTGCTTATTTATTTAAAGATCATGGCAGGCATTAATTTGCTAAAGCATTCAGCGTATTCACTAGTTTTATTGAAAAGTTTTATTTTAAAATGTCAATATGTAGGATGGGGAGGAAGCTTAATCTTTTGCAGCTATTTAAATTTATGTTGTCATTTGACAAAGCCATCATACAAAGACTCTCTATAACCAAGGAACTTATACAGAGTCTTCACCCCTGAAGCCACCAAGAGTCACAGTAGGCTATAATAAACTGTAAACATTAAAGTCACATCCTTAAGGGAGAAAAAAGAAATAAAAAAAAATCAAACCAAAAATAAATTCAAGAATAATTAGAATAAATATTCCAACCAAATGAGAAGGAATCAGAAAAATAATACTGGCAATATGAGAAAACAAGGTTCTATAACATCCCCAAAAGATCACACTAGCTCTCCAGCAATGAATCTAAACTCAAATGAAATCTTTGAAGTAGCAGATAAAGAATTCAAAAATTTGATTATTAAGCTACTCAAGGAGATACCAGAGGAAGGGGAAAACCAACATAAAGAAATTTAAAAACTCAGGATATGAATAAAATATTTTCTAAAGAAATACATTTTAAAAAAAATCAGAACTTCTGGAAATGAAAGTCACATTTAGGGAATGACAAAATGCAGTGGAAAGTTCTAACAGACTAGAATAAGTAGAAGAAAATAATTTAGAGCTAGAAGACGAGGCTTTTGAATTAACCTTGACAAAAAGAAAAAAAAAAGAAATGAGCAAAATCTCCAAGAAACATGGAATTATGTAGAATGGCCAAATCTAAGAATAATTGATGTTCTGAGGGAGAAGAGTAAGTGAAAAGTTTGGAAAAATCACTTGAGGGAATAATTGAGGAAAACTTCCCTGGGCTTGCTAGAGATTTAGATATCCAAATACAAGAAGCTCAAAGAACTCCTGGGAGATTCATCACAAAAAAGACTTCAACAACACTTACAGTCATCAGGCTATCTAAAGTCAATGTGAAAGAAATAATTCCGAGAGCACTGAGACAAAAACATCAGGTAAACTATTAAAAAACAACAACAATAACAACAAAAACCTATCAGACTAACAGCAGACTTTTCTGCAGAAATCTTACAAACCAGAAGGGATTAGGGTCCGATCTTTAGCCTCCTTAAAGAGAGTAACTCTCAGTCAAGAATTTTTTTATCCAATAAAACTCAGTTTTATAAATGAAGGAGAAATAAAGTCATTTTCAGACAAACAAATGCTGAGGGTATTTGTCAGTACCAGGCCAGCCCTACAAGAAATGCTACAAGGAGTTCTAAATTCTGAAACAAAAGGTCAATATGCACCAGAATCGAACCTTTTGAAAGGGCCTATGAAACAGTAGCACAATTAAGACAACAAAGTATCTAGGTAACAATTAACATGATGACTGGAACAGTACCTCACATCTCAATAAGAACATTGAACATAAATGGCCTAAATACTCCACTTAAAAAATAGATTGGCAGAATGGATTAAAAAAAAAAAATCACAAACCACAAAATATCTGCTGTCTTCAAGAGACTCACCTAAAACATAAGGATTCATATAAAATCATGGAAAAGGGATGGAAAAAGATATTCCATGCTAATGGAAACCAAAAGCAAGCTGGAGTAGCTATTCTTACATCAGATAAAACAGACTTTAAAGCAACAATAGTAAAAACAGACAAAGAAGGTCATTACATAATGATGAAAGGATCGATCCAACAAGAAGATATTACAATCCTACATTTGTATGCTTCTAACACCGGAGCTCCCAGATTCATAAAATGTTTACTATTAGATCCAAGAAATGAGATAGACAGCAACATAATAGTAGTGGGGGATTCCAACACTCCATTGACAGCACTAGACAGATCATTGAGACAGAAAGTCAACAAAGAAATAATGGACTTAAACTACACTCTAGAACAAATGGACCTAACAAATATTTACAAAAGATTCTACTTAAGAATTGCAGAATATATATTTTTCTCATCAGCACATGGAACAGTCTCCAATATAGATCATACAATAGGGCGTAAAACAAGTCTCAATAAATTTTAAGCAATCAAAGTCATGTCAAGTATCTTCTCAGATCGCAGTGGAATAAAACTAAAAATCAGCTCCAAAAGGAACCTTCAAAACTATACAAATACATAGAAATTAAACAATCTGGTCCTGCATGATATTTGGGTTAACAACAAAATCAAGATGGAAATTTAAAAATTCTTTGAAATAAATGATAATAGTGACACAAGTTATCAAAACTTCTGGGATACAGTAAAAGCAGTGCTAAGAGGAAAGTTTACAGCACTAAATGCCTACAGCAAAAAGCCTGAAAGATCACAAATTGACAACCTAATTTCATACTTCAAGGAACTATAGAAACAAACAAACAACAACAACAAAACAAAAAACTGAACCCTAAGTTAGTACAAGAAAAAAGATCAGAGCAGAGCAAAATAAAATAACAACAACAACAAAAAATAGATAAAATATCAATGAAACAAAAAGCTGCTTGTTTGAAAAGGTAAAATTGATAGACCATAAGCTAGATTAACCAAGAAAAAAGAGAGAATATTCAAATAATCTCAATTACAAATGGAGCTGGAGACATTTCAATTGACACCACAGAACTGTGAAATATCATTCAAGACTACTATGAGCACCTCAGTGCACTCAAACTAGAAAATCTAGAGAAAATGAATAAATTCTTGGAAACATACAAGCCTCCTAGATTAAATCAGGAAGAAATAGAAACCTGGAACAGACCAATAACACGCAGTGACACTGCATCAGTAAGAAAAAAATTGTTGACTTCAAAAAAAGCCCAGGGCCAGATGGATTCACAGCTGAATTCTACCAGACATTCAAAGAAAAATTGGTGCCAGTCCTACTGAAAGTATTCCAAAAGATTGAGAAAGAGGGAATCCTCTCCGACTCATTTTATGAAGCCAGTATCACTCTGATACCAAAATCAGAAATATTGGTCTGTAGAAGACTATAGACCAATATCATGATGCAAAAATCCTCAACAAAATACTAACTAATGGAATTCAATAGCAACATCAAAATAATATGCAATAATCAAGTTGGTTTCATCCCAGTGATGCAGGCATGCTTTAATATATGCAAGTCAATAAAGGTGATATATCATATAAACAGATTCAAAAACCAAAAATCATATGATCATTTCAATAGATGTTAAAAAAAAGCATTCAATATAATCCAGCATCCTTTTATGATAAAAACCCTCAACAAACTAGGCATCAAAGGAATATATCTCAAAATAGTAACAGCCATCTATGACAAAACCACAGCTTTTATTCTACCAAATGTAGGAAGTTGGAAGCATTTCCTCTGAGGCCTGCAACAAGAAAAGAATGCCCACTTTCACCATTTCTATTCAACATAGTACTGGAAGTCCTAGTCAGACCAATCAAGCAAGAGAAAGAAATAAAGCGTATTCACGTTCAAAAAGAGAAAGTCAAATTATTGCTGTCAGCTGATGATACGATCATATACCTAGTTTGGATAAATTAATTCAGTAAAGTCTCAAGTCATAAAATCAATGTGCGTAAATCAGGAGCACTGCCGTATGCAACAATGACCAAGTCAAATTATTGCTATCAGCTGATGATATGATCATATACCTAGAGTTTGGATAAATTAATTCAGTAAAGTCTCAAGTCACAAAATCAATGTACGTAAATCAGTAGCACTGCCGTATGCGACAATGACCAAGCTGAGAATCAAATCAATAACTCAATCCCTTGTACAACAGCTTCAAAAAATAAAACAAAATACCTAGGAATATACCTAACCAAGGAGGTGAAAGATCTCTGCAAGGGAACTACAAAACACTGCTGAAAGAAATCATAGGTGACACAAGCAAATGAAAACACATCCCACAAATGCATTTCATGGATTGCAAGAATCAATATCATGAAAATAACTATACTGCCCAAAGCAATCTACAGAGTCGATACAATTCTCATCAAAATACCAACATCATTTTTCACAGAATTAGAAAAAACAATCCTAAAATTCATATGGAATCAAAAAAGAACCCAAATAGTCAAAGCAATCCTAAGTAAAAAGAATAAATCAGAAGGTATCACATTATTGAACTTCAAATTATTCTACAAGGCTGTAGTTACCAAAAGAGCATGGTACTGGTAAAAAAACAAAACAAAACAAACAAACAACAAAAAACCACATTGACCAATTGACCAATGAAACAGAATAGAGAACCCATAAATAAAGCCAAATACTTACAAATGGTCTTTGACAAAGCACACAAAAACATAAAAAAATAATAAAATAATGTCTTCTGCAGGAATTTGGATGGAGCTGGAGGCCATTATTCTAAGTGAAGTGACTCAGGAATGGAAAACCAAATACTCTATGTTCTCACTTATAAGTGGGAGGTAAGCTATGGGTACCCAATGGCATACAGGGTAACATAATGGACCATGGAGACTGAGAAGTGGGGAGGGAGATAGAAGGGGTGAGGAATATAAAACTACATATGAAATACAATGTACACTACTTGGATGATGGGTACCCTAAAATCTCAGACTTCACCATTATACAATTCATCCATGTCACCAAAACCCATGTGTGCCCAAAAGCTATTGAAATAAAAAAGTTAAAATTTTTATACTGAAAACTTCTATGAGACCTTTATAAATATGTAAACTCAAACACCACTGACCTAGACTTCCCAAGTTACCTATTTGTTTTTGGCTTTCAACTCAAATGTTTCTTCTTCAGGCAACTGTTACCGTCATATACCTTGTACATTCATTAATCAGATGATAAAATCTCCCAGTTACGGGACTCACTGGGATAGCTAGTAACTCAGAAATCTGGAATCTTGTAGCCTTGGACTTTTCAGAAATCTATCATATATTATTGTTGAAAAATAAATGAAAATGACTAATTTCTTTGTGTTAGTCACTGTCCTAGTGGTTTGTGTCCTCAGAACAGTCTCTTTAGGCAGGTATCATTGTCCCCATTTCACCAATGACAAAACTGAGCCCCAGAAGGCTTGTTACTTGCCTAAGGTAGCAGAGACAATAGGGCAGGGAGTTGTGGCTAGAAGCCATTTCTTCTAACACCACAGCCATGTTCTTCCCAATACTCCATTCCACTTCTCAATAACTTGAACTATTAAGGTGAAAAGAGTCTCATTCTGTCGCCTAGGCTGGAGTGCAGTGGCACGGTCTTGGCTCACTGCAACCTCTACCTCCCAGGTTTAAGCAATTCTCCTGCCTCAGCCTCCTGAGTAGATGGGATTACAGGCGCCCACCACCACGCCCAGCTAACTTTTGTATTTTAGGTAGAGACAGGGTTTCACCATGTTGGCCAGGCTTAAAGTAAAAAGATTCTTAGTGGAAACAATTCACAGAATGAACATGATAATTGAAGGCCCTCTATGCTGATTTAATAACTACTAGTGACACAGTGAAAGATGATGGGGCTCCCCTAATGCCACTCTCACTCACCAACCGATGAGTTGAGAAGCTTAGAAAGGCAGCTGATGTTTAGAAACTCCCACTACCCTCAGCTCAGGTTGAATCGGAGAAGCTGAAGCCAGTATTGCAGTATCTGGAGGAGTGGAGGTAAGAATAGGTGGACAGTGGCCTTCCTCCAGCCTCCACGACTAGTCTTGGTGATGCTATGATAACAAATATTTATTCATTCATTTATCTATTCACTCAATTGCCATTGCCTGCCGACTATACATTAGGGAAAGGATTCAAGTCACATGAATGTTTAGGTAGCACAATCTTTTTTTTTTTTTTTTTTTTAAATAGAGATGGGGTTTCACCATGTTGGCCAAGCTGTTCTCGAACTCCTGGCCTCAAGTGCTCCACCCACCTCGGCCTCCCAAAGTGCTAGGATGACAGGCGTGAGCCACCGTGCCCGGCCTAGGTAGCACAATCTTATTAACCTATATATTGGGTCTGCTGTAAACCACAATACACAGTAACTTTATGAAAAATCAGTGGCCATTTTCTTGGTTTTGGGTGGAGGTATCACTGATACTTGGAGGAGAGCTGTGTACACAGTAACCCCTACCCAAGTGCATTTTTATGAGGCTTCTCTATTGTCTATGTGTTTGGATTCCAAGTCATAAAAGACAAGTCAACAAATTAAAACACGTATATCAATCCAACTCAAATAATGATCTACCGAATTAAAGCAGGCACCACTGCTGTTTTAGGCGTGAATGCAGTCCTCATAGTGGTAGCATAGGAATCCCAGTTGGGGTCACCTGCTAAAAGTAAAATAAAGCATTTTTAAATGTGGCAAACCAGAATATTTTGATGAAACGTTGTTTTAACAATTAAGATAATTTTGCAAGAGAAAAAAACATTCTGGATAATAATTTACCTTTAGAGTCTAAGGAATAAAGATCAACATACAGCCTCGAACAGGAATAAGCTCGACTTATGTGTGCTTCACCCCAAAATAAAAGATAGTTCTACTGTTTGTCCTGAGCATTCATGCATGCTATTTTAAAGAATTAAAGACAGACATAAAAAAATAAAAAGGAATGTAGTTCATTTGAAACTCTATCATCTTAAGAGACCCACTATTATGTTTTAGTCACCAACTTTACATGCATCATATTAGATGTACCTATAGACACATGAAATGATTTTACACACAGGAGATTATATCAGACACATCAGGTTTTATAATGGACACCTCCTTACTTTTTCCTTTCCCTGCCATTGCCATGCTCCTTCCTGTCCCTTCTTCCAGGCAGCACATGTTCACAACTGGGCCTGTTTCTTTGCATACATGTGGAGGTAATCACATGCAGATTTATACATAGATATATTGGGTTTCAGTTCTCAATCTTTTGTTTCACAGAAGTGGGCACATATGACGCAAAGTGTCTTTGTCTTATATCTGTCACTAACAGTGTCTGATGGAAAACACCTCCAACTCATCTGGCATAGTTTTAATTCATGTCTTGTAATGGTTGTGCAAAATTCTGCAATGTAGATGCTATTTAAAGCTATGAGAGTAGGGAGATCAATGAAAGAGAGAGTAGACTTGGAGCAGAAGTTCCAAGGCTGAGACCTGGCACACTCCAGTGTCAAGAATTTGGAGAAAAAAGGAGGAGTCAGTGAAGGGATTGAAAAGAACTGTCAGCAAGGTGAGAAAGAAACTAGGAGCCAGTGGTATCCTGACAGTCAAAGAAAGTGTCCCAGAGAAGGGAGTCAATTACCGCTGACGCTTCCAGGAAGATGCCAGCTGAGAATTTACCATTAGGTAGTGCCATTGTTTGAATGTGTCCCCCAAATTTTATGTATTGGAAACTTGATCCCCAAATGTGTATGTTGATAGCATTTGGAGGTGGGGCCTTTGGGAGGTAATTAAGATTAGATAAGATAATCAGAGAGTGGTCCCATGATGGAACTGGTGGCTTTATAAAAAGAGGATAAGAGACCTGGGCTGCCACACTCTTGCCCTCTCACCGTACAATGACCCCCACCGTGTTACCATGAAGCTAATAGGCCCTCACCAGATCCAGCAGCATGCTCTTGGACTTTCCATCCTCTAGAGCCATTAGCTAAATAGTATTCTTTTCCTTATAAATTACCCAGTATGTAGTATTCTGTTATAGCAACAGAAAGTGGACTAAGACAGGTAGATACCAGCAACAACACTTTGCCCCAACCTCCCACTGTTAACAAAGTACCACCAAGTTTCTTAGGAATATATATGTTAAATTTAAAATCTAGTCATTCCCTTATTCTTCACATCTGGGTAGTAACCTGCTGCTTTTTACATGTCATGAGAACCGGGGTTGAACATCTCTACTTTTTGGATACACGACATGTTCTCTAGGATCTATCACTGCATCCCTAGAATACTGTTGCCACCCCATTGCCTGTATTTGTTCTCCTCCGTGTGTCCTATTACAGTTGCTACTAAGTATCTTTCTTCAATTTCCCAATTTTTAAAAAAGCTATATGCTACTGCTTAGCATAGGGAGCACTGGCCAAATATTTATGGTTCCTGTTATCCGTGAACCTCTTAATGTTCATCTCCTCATCTATCCCAATCAGGCCTTGTTTATAATTTAACAGACGCTCATTTCCAATCAGGATCTGATCATCTGCAACTATGACCTGTGCTTTTAACCCTGGCTGAAGTCCACCTCCACTTAGAAGCCCCTAAGTCAGGGAACGGAAACCTTAGCCCCCATATTCCCCGCTCTGTACCTGTGTTTCTAATCCCACTCTCTAATCCTGCTCTACAATAAATGATATCATTCTCCAATTTTCCTGCTTTAGTGGGAATCACTTTATGCTTGAAAGCACTTTATCCCAATAGCAAAATTGAATGTTCTTTGTTAAAAGAATTGCAAGTGTGGACAAGTAAAAGGGAAGAAATTGTGAGGCATCCCACTTGTAAAAGAAGCCTTCTCTAACCTGGTTCAAACTTCTGCATCGGACTTTTGGAAGGATCAGGAAGGCTATTCTGCACAAAACCACATATAACTTCTCCCTCTTTTTTTTCTAAGGTAAACAACTCTAACTGTCCAGAACACATTTCAATTAGGCTCAGATTTGCCTCAAAAAGCCTGGCAGAACTAACAGCACCCCAGGCAGCACCTCCCAATCAATCATGTGGGCAAGCATGACATGCCTCTCTGTGTTCCTGTCTAGGGTCCTATCCCTTCTGAAGATAGACTGGCAACTTTGATCACTAATTGCTAGGTGCCAGTCTCAGGAGTCTGATGGACAAGAGGGGCACGCCTCGCTGCTTCCAGGAACCAGGGGCACGCGAGCCTCTCACTTCCTGTGTTACCTTTGTATAGATCAGCAACTCCCTCCACTCCCTAATCCTAACCTGCTTGGATACACACTTGATCTTCAGTACATCTTCCTTTAATTTCATGTTAATGATTTCCCTTACTACAACCCTTTTTGCCAGGGCAGTATTTCCATGCTTTTTACCTCCATTGACAAAGCTTCTGAAAATACAGTATGCTCTTGGAATTAATCTTCATTAACACAAATGCTCATTGAGAAATCTGTAATCACAATATTCTGAAAATCTATTTCTAGTATATTCTATGCATGTCACTACTTTCTTCTTGGTGTCTCAGTGTTTTTTCTGTAGCTAATATCCATCTTTCCTGTGATTCTGTCTTCCTAATTGTCTCTTTCTTCTCTCATTTTCTGTTCCTCCTGCAAACCAATCCCCAAGCCGTCCCACGGACCGAGCCCTGTGCTGGCACTGGGACATAGAGTCTTGACCTGGCCTTGGAGAACTCAAGAGATGAGCTATGTATCCTACGAGTGCAATTTTAATGTAGCACTGATGTCTTATGTGTCACAGGGACCATGAAGAAGGTGCAATTCTTTTTTGCTTGGATGAGAAGATGGGGAAGCAGGGGCAGGTACAGCGGTCATCACAGCATAGGTGGCATCTGAGCTGGGATTTAATTTAGTAGATGTTTGAAAGGTAAACACGGGACATGAAAATAAAGCAATTTATAGAGGAAGTAGCAGGAGGTATGAGAGTCTGAGAGGAGTTACAACAAATGGCCCCAAGTGAATGAAGCAAAGGGAAAGATGGCTGATGACAGGTCGGCAAAGCATCCTAAAGCCTCATTCTGCTACCCTTGACAACCCACTGGATGAACACGTTTACCATTAGGAAAATATAAAGCTTTGAAAATATTGTAAGATATTAACTAACATGTGTATTTGATTATACTTTACAAAATGTTTTCATATATATTGTTTTATTTCCTCATTTTTGTTTTGAGGATTTGAGGTATTGATAAAGCTGTTTGTAGTATGCTGCATGGTGGCATTACACAAAGATGGGTCCGTGTCCTCATCCCCAAAACCTGTGAATCTGACCTTATTGGGAAAGGAGTCTTTGCTCACGCAATTAAAGATCTCTAGATCAGAAAATCATCCTGGGTTATCCTCGTGGACCTAAATGCAATGACAGGTGTCCTCAGAAGACAGAGGCAGAGACCTGGAGTAACGAGACTACAAGCTAGTGTTACAGGATCTCTCTGGGGTGTTGATTTTTCTGGCTGGAAACCTCTGTGGCTGCAATGCCTTTGCCAGCCTTTGCCAGAGTTCTTGTCCTGCGTTGAGGTACACAGACAAGTGAAGAATGAAGAGTGTTAGCGTTAGAACAGCTCAGAGGAGTAGGCAGCTCCTCTCTGTAGGCATGTTGTCCAGTCATCGAGCGCTCAGCTGTCAGCAGAGAGGAGGCCCCGGACAGGTTGGCTCCTCTCTGTAGGCAAGTCATTCAGAGGTCTCTGCAGATCTCTGAAGCTCTCAGCAGGGAGGGTAACTTCTCTCTGTCAGCAGGTCATCTCTGCAGCTCTCACTGGAGAGGGTACTCCTTCCTCTCTGCAGCTAGTTACCCATCATCTCCAGCTATCAGCAGAGAGCATACTCCTCTACAGCTGGTGTTTCCCGTGTCTCTCCCTGCCCTCTTCATCCTCTGGTGGTCCTCTGCCCTGTTCTGGCTGAGTCCAGGGCTTTCATGGACTTCACAGAAAGGGAAGTGAATGCCGATTGGTCCATGGGTGGCCATGGGCAGGCCAGAGGAGGCATCATGAGTCCCTACTCCGGTTCCTGGTTCCCAACTGGCAGCCTGGTCCCCAGGCTTCAGGCCCTTCCTGGTCTGAGGGTAGGGCCTTACTGGGGACCCCACCTCCTTCCACCCAGGACTCCGTCTGCCTCCTGCTGCCATTCACCGCCATGGTGCTTGGCCTCAACCTCTCTCTGAGATTGAAGCCAGTAAAGAGAGGCCAGGCAGTGGAGCAGATACTCCTAAGCCCACAGGGATAGATGGGTAAGGGGTGTCCTTCCTGGGGCATCCAAGGGTGCACACTGCAGAGATGCCCAGGTCCTGTGCCTGGGAGGGTAGCCACAGGGGCACCAGGGAGCTCCAGCCCCACCAACTCCGAAGATGTAGGGCTCCCGCTTGTCCCCGGCTCCTGCCTTTTCCTGGAGTGGGAAGCCCAGGTCTGCAGCTGTGGGTTCCATAAGGAGGCTCAGAGGCACAGGGAGGCTGAGACCCACTGCCGCAGTTTGGGTGGCTGTAGTCTCTTCCAGGAGGGCGGGGCTCCTGCCCACTCCATAGACTAGGAGGCCTGGGTCTGCAGCTGTGGTTTAGGCAGCTGTAGTGGCACAGGGAGCTCCCATCCCAACTCGGAAAGGGCAGGGCTCCCACTGACTCCATGGAGCGTGCAGCCCCAGCTGTGCTTCCCTGCTGCAGCTGGCATGATGGCAGCAGCCACTGCCATCACTAGCAGCGGCGATGGCCACCTGAAGCTGGAAGAGGCAAGAATCGCTTCTCCCGTAGGGCCTGTAGAGGGAGTGCAGGCTTGTCCAGAACTTGATTTCAGACTCTTGACCTTCAGAGCTGTGAGCAAATACATTTCTGTTGTTTGAATCCACCAGTCTGTGGGAACATACAGCAGCCACAGGAAACTAACCCAGTACCTGAGAGTGCTGTGTATAGCAATTATTCAATAGCAGTTAGTCATCACAGTCACCATCAACCTCATCCTATTTTGGACCAAGGCTGGGCAGTGGTGACGCATCAAGCCCACCTTTTGGAGGGTGGCTCTCCCAGCAGTGGGGTAGGAGGTGGCACAGAGTGGCCGTTAGAGACGCAAGCCTGGAGGTAAAGGGGGCAAAAGAGCTTTGGAGGCAGAATCAGAGACCTGGTGATCAAACTGCAGTCACGGAAGCTGGCTTCTCTTCTAAGTTGAGCAGCTGGGACCCTCCTAACTGAACTCTCAATATCTGGAAGGTTTGAGGAGGACAAGGAGTGTGATTTTGCACATGTTGAGTTGGAGGCCCTGCTCTGACACCCACATGGAACTGCCTGGTTTTAGGAGGCAAGTCGAAGTCAGAGATGAAGATTAGAGAGTTGTTGGTACTTTTATGCAGCACCTGAAGCCCTGTGGCAGGATGGGGTCATGAAGAGAACGTAAGCCCAGAAGAGTCCGTCTTGGAGGACTCCAACAGTTCCCAGACAAGGAGACAGGGAGACAGTGGGAAAACAGGGTGGTTAAAAAGGAAAGAGGAGGGCTGGGCGCGATGGCTCACGCCTGTAATCCCAGCACTTTGGGAGGTCAGGAGATCGAGACCATCCTGGCTAACACGGTGGAACCCTGTCTCTATTCAAAATACAAAAACTTAGCTGGGCACGGTGGCACATGCCTGTAGCCCCAGCTATTCTGGAGGCTGAGGCAGGAGAATCACTTGAACCCAGGAGGCGGCGATTGCAGTGAGCTGAGATTGTGCCACTGCACTCCAGCCTGGGCGACAGAACAAGACTCTGTGCGAAAGAAAAAAAAAAAAAGAAAGAAAGAAAAGAAAAAAAAGGGAAGAGGAGCGTCCAAAGGGATGCTGCCGGGATCCTACGAGGAGACCCTTTCCTCTGTCTCTCTTTGCCTTGCCCATCATATAGAAACTGTGTATTCGATATTTTCTGCACGAATTAAATATTTTCATTTTCCATTCTTAATTTACAAAGGAATGAATTGGAATGAAAAGATGCGTTTCATTCGTTCTTGTGGGAGCGCAATTCTAGGGAATTTGTACTTGAACAAACCCTCACTGCTCTGTGGCCACTGTGGAATCACAATTACCCACCTAGACGGCAGCAATGGGCAATTATTGCCACAAGAGACCATGACGGAGCTGACTACACGGTAATCATGCCGCTAGCGTCACAGCTAGTGTGGCTCTCCTTCCACAGACCCAAAAGACTGAACTGGCGAACCTGCTGCATCTGCGGGCAGAATTAGGATGGAAAGCACTACCTCGGTGAAATAAAAAATCTCCGTGGAGGAAAAATCAGTTCGGGTTAGAGGCCGTGGCTCCCAGCCTGTGCGGCTACCCGGGGAAGGCCCCCGCCTCTGCAGACACCCTTGGGACTGCATCCAGCAGCCATCCCTCCCCTACTTTCCTTGCTGTTTCCTAGACCCTGCATGGGGATCAGGACTCAGGCAGGGCCTGTTCTCTTCAGAGCTTCCCCGACTTCTCTTTCTTCTTGGCCTTTAGCCCTGTTCTCCTTGGATAATCACCATCTTCCTTTTTCCTGTCCGCTCTTAGCCAGGCGTTTCCTTGGGTGTTTAAAACTTAACCCTGCGCGTTTTAGGGAGCGGGGACTTGGCAAAGGTTATGTGAAAGACTGAAAAGGGGTAGGATCAAGAATGCCCAGTCATTCTCCCTGACTCCTCCGTCTTTTTCTCGGTTGAGCTCACTCCTAAGAGCGAGGCCACATCCTTAAAGACCTGAGCCCCCTTTTTCTCAACAGGACCCTTTCCCCAGGAAAGACCCCCGCCCCGCCTCGCGGGCCGGCGGAGTCCGCTGTCTTACTTGGCTGGAGGTTGTGGTGGCAGAGGAAGGGATCCGGAGCCCGGGGCCCAGGCTGCTCCATTCGGCCCAAGGAGGCCGCCGCGGGGCCCTGGCTGCAGCCCAACCGCGCTGCAGGAGCCGCGGGCCGCTTTGTGACGCGTTGCCATGGAGACAAGGGTCGGGTTCCTTGGAGCTCTTCCCGGGCCAACGGGTGCTGGCCACGCAGGAGGCTTAACCTGGCCGGCGCGGGAATAGAGTGCAGAGAGCAAAGAAATGTGGCTTTGATCCTATGGATGCCTTACTTTTACATTATTTGTGTAGTTCTTGCGGCGAGCTTTCCTGACTACTGTCTTGCATGTTTCGTAAGAAATGCAAAAAGGGAAAAGATTGAAGAGAAAGTAGTAGTGTCAGATTTTCAACGGCAAACTTTCATCCATTAGCTTTCAGCTTAAGCAAACGTGTGCAAAGTTGTCCTCGGTCTTTGCAGTAAATAAGAACCAAGCAAGAAGACTGAATCTGAAGTTATCTGTATAAATGGAAGCAGTTTCTGTGACAGCTCCATGCGGTCAGAAGGGGCATCCTGGCTTAGGAGAGAGACAGAAAGGGAAATGCATGCATGGAAACACGAGTGGGCAGGGAGGATGTGACACTCTCCTCCTTACCAGGCCATGATCCTGGCACCAACCATGGTGTTTGTGAGTGTCGTTTAATTGTTCTTCTGCTCTCATAGAGGAAGCTGTGTCGTTCATCCGCGTGTAAGAGTTTTCACCGATGAAGGGGGTCTTTTATTTTCCTATCTTGGGAACTACTGAAAGTGTTTCAAAGAGTCAAAGACACCAATAGCTAAAAATTCTTGTTTGCAGGTTGGCAAATAAGAAAAGAAACAACTTGCTGAAACTCCCTCTGCTTATAAGAAAACTGGCTGAAACCAGCTGGGATCATATGGCCAAATGGAGTTTGTGCACAGCAAGCTTGCCGATGTCACAGCCCGGATTTCTACCACATGTTTCATACTAACTCCCTCCAAATTTGCACATGAGACCTATGAGGAAGCATGAAGACAGAACCGTGCATGCCTGAAGACTTCCCAGATGGCCCCTTTGCTTCCTCCAATTACCTGCTAACCCCAGAATCCACCCCTAAACCTTTTGTAAAATTACCGCCTCAAAGCCAGTACAAGAAGACAGATTTGAACTGGACTCCCGTCTCCTCAGAGGCTTGACTGGCAATATAAAGCTTTTCTTTTCTTAAAAACTTGGTGTCATAGTGTTGGCTTCTAGTGCGGTGAGCCCCTTTTGCTGGCTAACACTGCCAGGTAATTTGACATAGGTGGTTAGTGACTACCGAATGCCTCCAGATTACTACACAGTTATTACCCACTTGAGTGGAAAGAGAAGACGGGAAATACATATTGGAGTCAGCTGGCAACCTGTTTACACAGCAATTTACAAGAGTACCTTATTCTTAAAGGGTTATTCTAATGTAAGACCTCAGAGAAACAGTGCAGTGTGACAAGGGAGGAATTTATCAAAGGAGACAGGAAAAGCATCAAGGTAAGGATCCCAAATATATATGCAAAGAATTTCTTTAAAATGGAGAGCTAAACTAGAATGATCTGAAGGTAGAGTTCTATCCATATAATGGAATGACTATAACACATTTTAAACTCTCATATTTGGAAGCAATGAAGGGTGGAACACATTAGAAGGCATAGACGTTATTAAAAGGAATGAGTCTAAATTAGGATTTAGTAGTGGCATCTAAATTTAAAAAGTAGCACCCAATAACAGATTACTGTCTGGAAATGGTAGAGCTAATTAGCATAGCATAATTTAAGAGAAATATATTTTTAAAATAGAGCAGCGAGTATATAGAAATTTGAAAGTGAATTCTTATTAATATCTTACAATTTGTCTCATTTTAGGCAAGCTGCGAAATGCTGGATAGGCACCTAATAGAGAGCCAGAAGATCTGTCACTGCAGGCCCTGAGGGTAAGCAGATCTTTCCCCCAGCCCCGGTCTTCTTATCTGTAAGTGAGAATACCAGCACCCACCTCGCTGTGCTCTAAACATGAAGAGTTCCAACAGTAATTTATAAATTGTAAAATCTCACGAATCTAAGGTATTGCTCTTGTTGCTATTCTGATCTTCATTCCTTTTATAGTCTTTCATTTCTGCTTCAAAGTGTATTTTTGCGTGGGTCCGTTTTATGGCCAGCGGTAGAGCACTATTCCTGCCTTTGAATTCTGGTTGCCTGAGGCAACCCCTCTAAATGATTAAGTAGAGATTCCCTGCCCCTCCACCCCTCCGCCTTTCTTCTATCCCTCAACAAATACTGACCATGAAGAGCTGTATGATGGCATCGGGGCAACCCCCCCTGCTTATTACAGTGAACAACTTCATGGAAGAGGAGGTGCCTGAGCTGGGCCCTCAAGGATGTTTGGAATTACCCAGGGGAACACGGGGACGTGACACAAAGTAGGGCAAGGGCTCAGAGGCACAGAACAGTGCATGCAGTCCCGAGACCTTTAGTAGTTTAATACTGCCATATTGTAAAGTGTGTCTGGAGAAACTGAGAGCTGGCTGGTGAGGAAGGCCCGCAGGCCATGCTGAGAAGCTTGACTTCACCTGCGCACGTGTGGGTTAAACAGTGCAGTGAACAGGCCAGGCTGGGAGTTTAAGTAAATCCTGGCCTCTCATTCCAGGAGGAGAGGCAAAATTTCACATCATCCTGCCAGAGTAAGTTTCAGAAATTGAAGCATCTAGGTTCCTAATTTAGATTACTGATATACTTTTAGCAGAGTTTCCAACTGATCCAAAACAATTGAGAATAGTTGTATTGAATGGGTTAAATGTTAATTGGTTGTTTTCAGTTGAAATGATTACAGCTGGGTGAAGTGGCTCAAGCTTGTAATTCCAATACTTTGGGAGGCTGAGGCAGTAGGATCCTTTGAGCCTAGTAGTTCGAGGCCAGCCTGGACAACATAGGGAGCCCCCATCTCTACAAAAAACGGAAAAATTAGCTAGGTGTGATGACGCATACGCTTAGTCCCAGCTACTTGGGAGGCTGAGGTGGGAGGATCGGTTGAGCCCAGGAGTTTGAGGCTGCAGTAAGCCGTGGTGGTGCCACTGTGCTCCAGCCTGGATGACAAACTTCATCTCCAAAAACAAAAAACAAAAAATGTGTTACGATCACATGGATCGTAGCCATGGGAGGAGGAGGGGCTCAAGTAGTGAGTCATTACTTAAAACAGGGGAGGAGTAACCAAACTCCTAGGCCCAGGATCAGGAGCAGAAAGAGAGAGCTTGAAGCTGTAGGAGAGAGCAGATGGGGCCCAGGCCTGGAGAAGACCAGGGTGCTGGAGAGCTGCTTCCCAATCCGAGTGTGCATACCTGCCCCTGGGTGTCTGTGAGCACATGAATTCAGATTCAGGAAGTCAGGCAGAGCTTGAGCTGCTGTATTTCTAACAATATCCCAGGTTATTCATGGAGTTTGAGATGGACAGATGTAAAGCCTTGCTGTGCTCCAGTAACCTCAGCAGCACCTTGTTAGAAATGTAGAAGTTCAGGCCCCGCCCAGAGCTGCTGAATCAGGATCTGCACTCTATTGAGATCTCTGGAGGATTCCTAGGAACATTCCAGTTTGAGAAGCACGGCTCCAGTTCGTACAAGGGGCAAGGTCATCTCCCGAATGAGACGGAGAGAGGAAAGAGTTGAAGGCAAAAATTCAAAGAGCCAGCTAATGAAGAATGGGTAAAAGAATTGACAGGTGGCTGCTGCCAAAAGCCTAGAAGAGGTCACAGACAGTCTGCAGCCTTGCCAGCTACTTTGAATACAAAGATACGAAGTGAAGCTTCTCTGCCTTTGCTCTTATATTTGGACAAGAGGCTTTCTATTACTATGCAGTATGCAATGCTTTGATTCGAGTGTCCTTATTTTAAAAATAAAATAGAGATTTCTTTTAAGGAATTGTCTCACACAATTGTGACGAGTCCAAAGTCTGTGCGGTAGGCCAGCGGGCCGGAGACGCAGGGAAGAGTCGATGTTGCAGCTCGTGTCTGAAGGCTGCCTGCTGGTGGAATTCACCCTTGCCAGGGGAAGCCAATGCGTTGTTCTAGTTCATCCTTCCACTGATTAAATGAGCCCCACCTACATCAGAGAGGGCAATCTCCTTTATTCAAAGTCCATGATGTAAATGTTAATCCCATCCGAAAACACCCTCACAGAAATACCCAGAAGGATGGTTGACCAACGACCTGGGCACTGTGGCCCCGTCAAGTTGACACATAAAATTAGCCGTCACAGACTCAGATCTTGTTGAGCCATCGAGGTCATAGTTGCCACTAATGGGGATTGTGGGTAAGTAGTCCAAGAATGATTTTGGTCCTCTTATTGAAAATTCCAGAAAAAAAAAATCTATAGTTACTTTTTATTTTATTAAGATAGTCTAATGGGGTAAATTCTAAGCTCTGCTTCTAACTTGCTACTTACCAAATTTACTTATATTTCATCTAAATAAAACCGTAATGGCAAGTACAGACTATTGATTCTATCAAAACCTCATCAATTGCCTTTAAATGTGACCTCCCTCCTTGGCCAGCCCTCCGCTTCCTGATTCTTATCTGAACTCTTTTTTTTTGGGGGGGGGGAAAGATGGGGTTTCACCATTTTGTCTGGGCTGGTCTCAAACTCCTGGGCTCAGGCAATCCCCCCACCTCATTCTACCAAAGTGTTGAGATTACAGTTGTGAGCCAATGCACCTGGCCTCTTCTCCGAACACAAGAAACACACAGGCCATGGCGGCCATTAGGTAATTATCAATGCCTTTCATTGCTAGTTCTCTTCTCAGGTTTATGCAAGCAGCAAACAGCAAAACTGAACAATTATTTTGAATCTGTTATACCAGCATTTATCCATCTAAATGAATGTTCTCTTTCATGTTCTCAAAGTAATCATTTATTCGAGTGCTGCTTATATTGGTTTGTTCTCACACTGCTATGAAGAACTACCCCAGACTGAGTAATTTATCAAGAAAAGAGATTTAATTGACTCACAGTTCTACATGGCTAGGGAGGCCTCAGGAAACTCACAATCATGGCAAAAGACACCTCTTCCACAGGGCAGCAAGAGGAAGAATCAATGCCCAGTGAAGGGGGAAGCCCCTTATAAAACCATCTGATCTCGTGAGAACTAACTCACAATCACGAGAACAGATGAGGGAACCGCCCTCATGATTCTGTTATCTCCACTTGGTCCCTCCCATGATATGTGGGGATTCTGGGAACTACAAGATGAGATTTGGGTGGGGACACAGCCAAACCATATTACTGCTGCTATCGCTTGAAGCATTTTTGAAATTCTTTAGAAACTCCCTTCGAAAACTGACACAAACATTCTTTTGAATTTCTTCAATGGAGGCATAACTTTGCTCTTTGAGGATAGATTGGATATTTGAAACAGTAAAACGACCTTCAACCTGATAATTAAGGTAGGCGATCAAGCTGAGCAATGTTATCTTTTAGCCAAAAATCAAGCTAGTACCATCAGGCAATAGGAAAAAAAAATCCCTCATTCTGTAAATCATTTCTGTACCTGCATTCTTGTTGGGATAAGTGATGGCCCCCAAGGTCACTGAGAGCTTCGGTAAATTAATCACTTGGATCAATCAATTCTTAAATATTTGTTTTTAAACTAAATTTTGCCAGGCACAGTGGCTCATGCCTATAATCGCAGCACTTTGGGAGACCAAGGCAGGGGGATCACCTGAGGTCAGCAGTTTGAGACCAGCCTGGCCAACATGGTGAAACCTGTCTCTACTAAAAATACAAAAATTAGCCAGGCACAGTGGTACACACCTGTAATCCCAGCCACTCGAGAGACTGAGACAGGAGAATTGCCTGAATCCAGGAGGCAGAATTTTCAGTGAGCTGAGATCATGCCCCTGCACTCCAGCCTGGACAACAAGAGTGAAACTCTGTCTCAAAAATAAAATAAAATAAAATAAAATAAATTCTACAGTACATGCCATTGGTTTTTATCTCCAAAACTGGATTACAAGCATCTTAGACGTTTTTCTTTTTGAATTTCTCTCAGAGCACTTGTTTTATTAGTCTTATTAGCTTATATACGAGTCTTCTTTTACAAGACTGGAAGCTCTTTGAAGGCAAAAACCATGTTTAGTCGCCTTTCTATGCTAGCATCTATCTGATGCACGCCTATGGCACCTAGTAGGCACTCAAATATGTATGTTGAATAAATGAAAATGAACTGAATGAATGAATGACTTCCTTAGGTCATTGCTGTCCTACAGATTGCATTGATCTTAAACTGTTAAAACATCAGCATTGGGCCACATTTATACTCAGTGTGAGGCCTCTTTTACCCAGGAAGATCTGTTCCTAGACTTTTCATCAGTTTTAAAGATGGCCCAATATAACTTCTTTGTGATATTTGCTAATAAAATATACTAGCACAGCATATATTTCTTAGAGGTAATCAATAAAACTTTGCTGAGTGAATATTGAATGTGTGAATGCATTTGGTTCAGTTGACTGAAAAGAAGTTTTTAGTGGTAAAAGAAACCTTCCAGATTTTTAGTCCATTCCTGGTGGAGTGATACTGATGGGTTTTCTCAATTCTGCTACTTAAAAAAAACCTCCTTTGTCAATTTTGTGAATAGAGTTTCTGTTTGCTTTGGGAAGCATTTCATATTTGATATCCACCTAAGGTTTGTTTGCACTAGTGTAAAACTTAGTTTATTGTTAATACTCTTCATTTTTTACTGAGTGCAGTAATAAATGTTTAACCTCTTCTGCTATTAAGTAGCATCCCTCTTCTCTTTTCTGAAAGATTGGTATCAAACTTTATTTCCTTTCTTCAAAAGGCTCTTCTTGAGAAAGCGGCTATGAAAACCCACAATTCTTACTGTAATTCAGTAAGTTACAAGGCAAATACACAGCCCACAAACCACAAAGGATAGCTCACATGAAGCCTCCGTCATAGATTTAATCAATTCTAGGCTGAATGCTAAGAAAAGTTTTAATTGTGCAAATGTAGTACATAACATTTCAAATATAAATGGAAAGATCATCAGTAGTGTTATAAAAATGTATAATACAGAAACTTTTTAAGAAAGGATAAAAAATATTACCCTCAGGACCCATAACTCTTCCTCATTATAAGCATATGTAGTGATTCATTCATGCAGGTTTTTATATGTAGTTAGAATGATTTTTTTTCTTTTTCAAGAATTCCATTGTAGCCATGAGATGAAAAATGTATTATGGTAATGATATAGCTTTCTTCTATTTTGCTTTTAGTGACAGGATTGCTAAAAGCTTATTTAAAATTCCCAACGGACACAATGTGCTTTCTGTAAGGAGGACACTGCCATGTCCAATACCCTTCCCCTGTCCTTGTTGGTACCACATCACCTAGCTTCATTGTACATGGGTCACTCAGTTAAGAGGGAGGGCAAGGGAGTTCTAATTTCAGGCAGTGCGTGGCAGGATTACTGTCCCAGCAACCTGGCTAGCTCTCCAGTGAACCTCACCTTGAACGTTTCTCATAGGTATCAAATGGCAGGATGAAAAACATATTTGCCTTCCAATGAAAGATGGCACAGGCTTTTGCCCAGCCAGGCTTGCAAGACAACAGAACTGTTAACCCCTGGTTTGACAGTTTTGAGTTCAAGGGGTTGGATGCCCTAAGCAGAGGGCCAAACCATGATTTATGACGCATGCCGGGTCAACACCCAGTCAGACCACTCCCACAAAGGCTGCCAGGAAGACTCCCAGGGTACGGAGAAAAATGTTCAGGGTGGCAGAACTCTGTGGCCCCTTCTGCCTCTTTGGAGAAGTGTTCAAAGTAGAAACCATCCTCCGGCCCCAGATCCCCCAGTGCCATGGGCCCAAGGCCTTTCCATCCTGGTAACCA